CGTACCTTTGTCCTGAAGTTGAGGCTCTACTGTCGTCAACAATAACAGACCTGGCACGAACAGTGACCCCTTCGCAGACTTGCCCCCTTCCTAATGACTCTTACCAGTTGGTCAAACCCGGCTACCTTCCCATTGGTGCAATTTAGACCCCGACTTTTCATTCTTGTAGTTGATTGGCTAATAGAATAAAATGCTTTTCTGTGATTGGTCAGTTATATTACTGTGCAGGCACAATCGTTTTAGCCTCGTTTCCAGATCGATGTGGAAAATGGCGGCCATCTTGAAAACTTTGCTGGATCCTGGAGGAGATTTGAGTTTGGAAATCGTTCTGCAGTGGCTTAGTCAAGACGGCGACGGGAGGCCGGTAAGGCAGATGAACGTACCCGATAGTGATTCGTATTTTGTAAGGCTAGCGGTAACTACACACTACTGGTAAGCTACTTTTTGCACTTCTTGGGGAGGGGGGCGAGTTCATGAAGCTTACAACAGCCTAGTCCACACAATCCGCAACAAGCTACAACAACTCAAACTACAGGGCCTCACCATCCAATTCAACTGGTGCCCAGGACACGTGGGAGTAACCGGAAATGAGATCGCAGACAAGGAAGCAAAACTGGCAGCCAACGAAGCAAGGAACAACAGTAACAACACATCCTGGACAAAACAGCAAGCTCTGAAACACATAGAATCACAAGCTAAGGAGAGATGGAACAGAAGATCAAATCTGAACACACGAAGCGAACGCATGCAAAAAATCGGCACACACATGAAGAAGAAGGGCAGAACACTCGGAAGAAGAACCACACAAATCATCATAAATCAGCTAGTGAGCGGTCATACCAGACTTAACGCATACCAGAACTGGAAAAACCCTGAGGTTCCACCACACTGCCCGAACTGCGACGCTCTGGAGACCACCAACCACTACCTGTACCACTGCCCTCGCTACGACAACGAAAGACATCACATGCTGCTAGAAGCTGACAGCATACACGAGACATACAACACAGCAGAAGAAAACAGGGACACGGATATCGTCACCCTAGCCGGAATGAGAGAAGGCCTTCCTGAAGCAGCGAACAACCAGATGTACCTGGCCCTCTCCCGGTACATTGAGAGTACACACCGCTTCGATGCGCTCTCATAAAGACACTTCAAGCTTCACTCAAGCACAAGGCACCAAGAGTTAAATACCTAGAGAGACTTTTTGACTCTGAACTGAACCACGTGACAACGAGCACCAAGTGACCACGTCTAGCGATATATTAGACGTTAAACAAGGACAACAACAACAACAACATGAAGGGAGACAGCTGGACAGTCCAAGACCTGTGTGCATAAATTTTTGAGTCGGTTGACGCCACCAAGATCGACGTTGGTATTGAAACACCGGGTGTTTGGAAATTTGCACGGGTCAAGAGAGATCTTGATCAGATGTATACATTATGATAATCATAAAAATTATAACAATAACATATCTTCATAAATTGGTTCGAGTAATATATTTAATCACAAAATTTTCATAATACTAGGAGGACACCTTGAATCAATTATAGAAAAGCTACTCTATCAAACACCCAGTATGTAATCTGAAAGCCAATGTGTTTTTATGTACAATCACTAAAAACAGTATTTGAAAAGTTGAGTCATAGTTTATTTCAATACTCGTATTACTTTAATATACCAGCTGGACTTTTCTGATAATTCTGTTGAAGGATGTTGCTGCTTCCTGTGACCTGCTGACCTGCTGCAGCCAAGACGAGTTTGTGGTTTTCTTTTTGAACTACCTGCGTGACAAGACAGGACATCTCCTGAGTGGCCGACAGACTGCCGTGCAAACACCTGTCAAAACTCCCTCCTCCAAGCCTTTGAAAGCCAAGGAATCCAGCAGTGTCTCAAGAAGACCAGCTTCCACATCAAGAACTCAGTTGTTCTCTGTTAGTCCAAACCCTCGACCGACTGCAGACATTTCCAACCAGAATAGTTCTCTTTTTTCCCAAGACTTGTCCATTTGCGACAGCTTCACTGATGGGGAATCTTCATCCCACTTCTCCAGCATCCTCCAAAATAGCAGCAGAAACTCCCCTACTCCTAGTCCTTTCCATGGTAGGAAAACTCCAAGAGAACAGAAGATAACCCTAGGAGAATTTCTTTTTAAGACTCCAGAATCAGGCAATAAGAGAAAGAGTCCAAATCCTGCCAGCCATGGAAGAAAGGACAAGGACCGAGGAAACTACAGTGCATCTCCTCACATTGGCAGGAAGTCTGGAGGAAAGGGAAAGGGAACAGTTCCTGCAGAAACAAAGGAGATTCAGATCGGGAAAAGAAGATCAGAGCCTCCACCACAGCCTCCTGTCTTTAACCTGGGAAACATGGAGGACTTTCCACCAATGGGGAGCCCATCACCCATGTGAGCAGTTCTAGAAGTTTCCTAAATGAAATTATTTTCTGCTTTTCTACTAGTAATCAGCTTTCAAACCTGTTGGTAGCTAAAACTAGCAATACTGTACAGTAATAGAAACGGTCTTTTACAGGAAGATAACCCCATCCAGACGCATCACCCCAACTCCTGTCACCAAGGACGGTTCTCGGCCCAGCAGTAGAGTGTGCTTCACATCCACTCCCCTGTCAGATGCCCCAAACTCCCCAGCAGCACAGGATCACAGCTCCTTATTCAGTAGTCCTCCCAAGGCTGTGTCCAGGACATCTGTACTGCAGGAGGAAAGAGAACTGCTCAAAATGGAGAGGTTCGTTTGTCATTAGAAACATCATTGCAAACTTCTGAAATCAGTTTTCTTACTAATACTATCCAGTGTTCTATCTTTCATACTTCATATATTTTGCCATCTTAGGAGTTTGTATGTTGCTATAAAAAAAGTTTCTTGACACTCACTGCAGGTCCAGACTGCTAAGTGACAGTGGGCTTACAAATGCAGACAGTCCTAAAGATGAGTCCCACCCCGCCCCTTGTATCACCCCCACCAAGGCATCCATACTGACTCCTACCAAGGCTGCCCTCATCAGACAGTCAAGCGTGAGCGAGACAGTAGCCGACAGGAACCTCGTCACACATGAGGACGTAATTTGTACACTTGCAGAGCTGTACTCCCAGTGCATTCAAGGTAGTGATGTCTACAATCATGCATTCTTGCCTATCTTACCAACCCAATAGGTATAATTTGTTCTTGAACTTCTTGTATTAATCATGTGGTCCTTGATAGACATGTATGTTTCTTTATGTAACGTTACATTTATTTCCCACCTTACTCATAGCCAACCTTGCACCCAACCTGG